CMMYATATAAATAAATTAAATAAATGTGTARGGCCAGCCTCGACCTAAAGGAGGCAGATTTTAAAAGGCTCAATAAATTGAGATTTTGCTCCCAGTGGAACCCTTAGACCAGCAGAGTGGGTCTAAGGAGAAGCCCGCTGGGCCTGGACTGGACTGGAATTTTTATTGGGCTTAGGGCAGGAAAGGGGGTTTTTAGAGTCCCTGGTCCTATTGGAGTTGGGGTAAAGGGGAGCTGGCTAAGACCCAGGATTGGCCAGGAGAACCTGCTGATTGAAAAGCAGTTCCATCAGTGCCTAATTGGTGTTTCTTTCTGGCACACGCGCAGGTTGCTTGGTGCTTTGTTCCTAAGTCACCACCATGGACCTGACAGCTACCACATCTCAAGCTAATATCAGGCGCTGTGTCCCTTAATCCTAATGTAATATTCATAGGATACCATCTCGAACTAATATAATAGGTGCTGTGAGATGAGTCCTTGCTTCCCCGTATGCTGAAGTATAACACCAGAGAAGCACGCCGAGGCAAATGGAGAGTGGAGAGAGAAAGGCTTTATTACAGGACAGCAGAAAAGACTTAACCCCGGAGCAAGAAGGGGACCTGAAAGGCAGAATCCGGGGAAAGGGAGGTCTTTCCTCTTTTAAATCTAAGGTCTTCTTTTGTCCTCCCACATTTCTGTTCTTTATTTTCCTCTATCTTTCCCCCCATGTGATGGGGGATGCAGGTGGGAAGGCCAAAAGGTGAGAAACAGGTGGACTATTGGGCAGGGAGGAGGGATCTGGGCGGGAAGGACCTAGGGTGGTTTGATTGCTGGGAGCTATTCCATTAACAGTTCTTTAGGACTGGGAGGGAGGAAAGGAGGGGGAGGGAAGGGGAGAGGGGGAGGAGGAGAGGGATGGGAGGGGGCGGGGCCTTGGGGACTTTAACATTTCAATTCCCCAGGTGTTGTTCTGGTTCCCTCCAGAACTCAGATGGAACTCCATTTTCTTTATGGACTCCATTTTTTATATGGTCTCCATTTTCTTTATTGGACTCAATATTAGACCTGATTTACCTAACTACACTAACTACCTATCTTTAAATCTGGCTTCAGACTGACTCAGTTTCATAGGCTTCACTCCTAGTTCCTGGCTCTTGGCGTGCGGTGAGGCAGAACATCGTGTGGGAGCATGTGATTGAGCAAAGCCACTCTGCTCACAGCATGGAGAAGGAGAAAGGAAGCGTCTGTGGAAAAAAAACATCCCCTCATGGACACGCCCCCAGTGACCTCTTTCCTCCCACCTGGCTGTACTTCCAACAGTTCCCACCACCTCCTACAGCGCCTCCAGCTGGGGACCAAGCCTGCAATGCACAAGCCTTTGGGGAATATTCCAGACACCAAACTGATAAAAGAAAAAGAGTTAGCGAATTTGAAGTGCAGTGACAGAAATGATGCAAAGTGACCAACAGAAAGAAAACAAGTGAAAAAAAATTAACAGCTCATTTTTTTTTAAGATATTTTTTAGTGTTGATGGACCTTTACTTTTTAATATTTGTATATGGTGCTGAGAATCGAACCCAGTGCCTCATGCATGCTAGGCAAATGCTTTACCACTGAGCCACAACCCCAGCCCGTAACAGCTCATTTTAAGTACAATTATTCTTTCCGAAATCCTTCAGTGCACATATATTCTTCGTTCAGACTTGACTGACTCAATACAGCTCAGATGAAAGTCTCCCAAGCTTGATCTGTAGATTCAGTGCAATACCAAATTCCCAGAAAACTGCTTCTGAACCCAGAATGGGTGACACTGACTGCAAGAGGACAAGCTTGACAAACTCCACATCTGGATGCCAGAACCAGTCAAAAGGCTGACACTGTGAAGAGAATGTGACACCGGTGAAGGAAGAGACAGACTCCAGTGGAGATGGGCAGAGAGCCCAAACACATGCTCATATGGTTCATCTGACTCCTTTATCTCAGTGTCAAAGTACTTGGAAAAGGTAGAAAAGTTGGTGTATCAAAACTCAAACATGCTCAGTGTGCACACCTGTAATTCCAGCAACTTGGGAGGCTGAATTGGCTAGTATGGGCTACTTAGCAAGACCCTGTCTCAAAATTCTAAAAAAAAAATGGGCTGGGGCTATAGATCAGTGGCAGAGTGCTTGCCTCACATGTGTGAGGCACTGGGTTCAATCCTCAGCACAACATAAAAATAAAATAAAAAATAAAGGCATGTTGTCTATCTATAACTACAAAAAAATTTTTTTTTTAATTAAAGGGCTAGGGATTCAACTCAGTAGTCAAGTTCCCCTGGCACTGGGTTTAACCCCTAGTGCCAAAACAAACAAACAAACAAAAAAAAAACGCAACAATAAGAAAATAAACCCTCCAATTACAAAGAGATACAGATTGGAATAGAGATCTCACCAAAGAAGATATGCAGGGCTGGGGTTGTGGCTCAGTGGTAGAACACTTGCCTAGCATGTGGGAGGAACTGAGTTCAATTCTCAACACTGCACTAAAAAAAAAAAAAATACCATGTCCATCTACAGTTAAAAATATTAAAAGGAGGAGGAGGATGAGGAGGAGGAAGAGGAGGAGGAGGAGGAGGACATGCAGATGGCAAAGCATGGAAAGTAATGCTGAGCTCCACTTGCCATGAGGAGAAAATGACAAAAACAGCAAGAGGGCACTGCCATGCAGTCTCCACTGTGGAGGATGTGAACAACAGGGGCTCATGCATTCTGGGGGAGGGCACAGAAGTTGGCCACTGTGAAACAGTTTGGCAGTTTCTTACCATAGGGCTCAACACTCATGATACTAAGAATTCAGACAACTGCCTTGAAAACCCATGTCTAAATACAGCATGCAGTGGCACACAGCAGTCGTGTTCACAATGGTCGAGAACTTTAAGGAATCAGGATATACCTCAATAGGTGGGTCAATAACAGAACTGCACAGCATCCATGCCATGGAGGCCTGGGGACTCTGAGCTCCCCCAGGCCTCTGCTCTGGCCCACACCTGAGCCACCTGGACTCCCCTTGTCTTTGTGCCTCACAGTGAGGCAAAGTGGGTTCTATATGGAGACACCTGTAGATGCAGAGGATAAACTCAGGAGAATGCAGGGACAAACCCAAGTCTGCATCTTTGCCCACAGAAGCCTCCTGGGGAAGGACAGCCAGACCTGGAGGCAACCCCAGGAGCCCCATAGGACCGCACCTACCAGGTAGAACCTGGAGGCAGCTCCTGGACCCACCTCTGATCAGCTTGGAAGACCTCATACCATACCTTCATTTCCCCAAGCAACTTCTGTTTATCTCTTTTCCCAGGCATCAACTGCCTCCTGAGCTTGGATTCTGTTAGTTTGTTCAGTCTGTGCCACAGGCTAGTCCTGATGCAGAACCTCTAAAATTCACTGTTCTGATTATTCCACAACATAATTTGGGGCGTTTAAGCTAAAATGGAGCCTGCCATCCCATGCCTTGATCTGAAAGCATGGCACCGTGGTCAGAATGTTTGCCTTCCAGATTTCATGTGTTAGAAACATAATCCCCAAAGTCCTGAAGCCCAGAAAGCACAGGGCTGGACAAACCACCCCTCCCACCTCCTCCAGCTGCCCCCCTTGCAATTTGAAATAGCCAAGATGTCCTTTTTAATCTCAGCAGGGAAGGTGGCTCAAGAAAGCATAGAAGAGGATGCTCCACGTGGTCATGGAGTCTCACCGGTGTCCACTGGGCCCAGCTGGCCCTTTATGGGAGTGAGGGTAGAACAGCTTGGGTCTACAACCCTCTTCTGAGGGAAGACTGGGACAAAGCCAGAAGGGTGGAGGGAAGGGACGGGCTGGCTGTCAGGATGCTGAGGATGAGGCCCCTCCCCACAGGAGCACAGAGGCTGAGAAGGGCTTCCTGCTTCCAGCTAGTCTCTGGCCACTACACAGGTGCCCCTTCCCAGGAGGTCCAGTTGAGCCAAGGGTCAGCTCCAGGGACTTTAGTCCATTTTCGCCAAAATGGACATGATGCAATGGAGTCACAGTTCTAGAACTTTCAGGACTGAGCCTGCGGCATGTCCAGAGTAGAAGGCAGCTCCTCCTGCAGTCCATGACCATGACCAGCTCCCTCACAGGTGTCTCCCTGCTGGGACTCTGCACCCTGTTGGCTGCAGGAAGGGCCACAGGCTGAAGCTGGGATGGGCCACGTACTCTGTATGTTTCCTGAGAGGGCTGAGGGCTGACACCCCCTGTAGCAGCCCAAGGCACAGTAGTCACTACTTCTGCCCTGGGAGTCCAGGGGAGCTGGCCTGGTGAGGGACACAAAGGCCCAGTCCTCCTGTGGCAGGTAGGCTGACTGTTCCCCCAACTCCACACATCCTGCTGGCTGCACACTCACTGAGCTCAGGGCTTCTGAGAGACCAGGACCAGTGCCCTCCTGCTCCTCCAGGCTTGAGGATTGCCTGGAGCGTGCCAGGCCATAGGTGAGCAGTGTGATGGCCTCCCAGATGCTGGACTCTGAGGCTCCTTGCAAGGTGTTGACACAGTCCTGAGTCAGCTGTAGGCTAGCTCCATGGGTCCCTATCCAGGTCTGGAACAGAGCACAGGGGGGAGGGAAGGGCTTAAGCAGCAGGTTCAGAGCTCACTTTGGGGCAGCTACTTTACCCTGGGCAGGCCCAGCCTTCCTCCTTCTCCAGGAAGCTCTCCTGCCTTCCACCATAGGCCAAGAGCACCTGTGCCCAGAACATTCCATCTTTCCCCATGTGCCAGCCTGGCATCAGCACAGGACCTTGAGTGCTCCCTCAGTACTCCCCAGCCTTGAGCCCTGCACTCGTGGCAGCCTGAACCAGGGTAAAATTGATGACAGGTGCTAAGGACAAAGCTAACCTCTGAGAGCACACTGCCAGGGTCTTCCAGCAGCTACAAAGCCTGGGCATCCCCAAAGAACCCCACTTACACACAAGGTAAGAGATGCAGTCAGGACCCTCTCTGGAATCACTGGAAGCCCTTACCTCCAAAATGAATCTGTTCCCTCAGTGGAACCAAAGCCTCCACCAAATGCACCACACACTACACCCTCCATCTGCTTCCTGGAGAGCTGACCTATAGCACATACCTGTACCTGCACCCCATCCCTGAAGTCTGAATAACGCCTGGCAGCTGCCATGGTTCTGCAGAAAAGGGTCAGTGCCTATAACTGGGATGACATAGCCCAAGGGCCAACTACTTCTGCCTGCTCAGCTTGTCCTCTTGATAGGACAGCTGCCTGGGCTCTTGACAGTCACATCCACTGGCTTGGGGAAGAGTGGAACTCCCTCCAGAGCCAAGTGCCCAGTTTTGAGCTACAACTTACACTTTTGGACAATAGAAAACTAGTCTCCCTATTGAGAGAACAAAGGATGTTTTTGCATAATAAGCTGGAGACCGTGTGAAGGGGACATCCCTGGCCACAGGGTGGAGCAAGACTCTGGGGAAGAGCAGGGTCAGCTTGGCCTGGACCCTAGGGAAGAACTCAGCACTGAGAGGGGAAAGACAGAGACCACCAAGGGAGACTTTCCTCTCCCAACCTCCTCTCAGGGAGCATGAACTGCCAATCCAACAGAGGTAGGGGGCTACAAAAGTGATCTGAGGCTCTCCCTCCCAGGCCCGCAATAGGGAAATACAGGATGCACTCATGTGCAATGGTGCCAGGGAGATACCCAGGGGCCCATAAGGTACCAGACACTTCACGGTGGCCACCAAAGAAGAAGTCAGGGGTCCTCTTAGGGCCAGGACAGTGGTACAAGCCAAAGACCCTTCCCCATAGCCACAGGACAAAAACCTTTGGGGAAGAGGAGGTGAGAAGAAGGAATGAGATGGGGTGGGTGCAGACAGCCCATAATATGCACCTTGAACTGAACATTTCCCTCAGTAGCAGAGCAGACAAATGAAAGTTTAATTTTCCCATCAAGAATGGAACTGGGGGCTGGGGTGGTGGCTCAGTGGTAGAGCGTTCACCTAGCATGTGTGAAGCCCGGGGTTCGATCTTGAGCACCACATAAAGATAAATAAATAAAGGTATTGTGTCCATCTACAACTAAAAACTATTTAAAAAAAAAAGAATGGAACTGGAGCTAGGGTTATGGGTCAGTAGCAAAGCGCTTGCCTAGCATGTGTAAAGCACTGGATTCAATCCTTAGCATAGCATAAAAATAAATAAAAAACAATTATTTTTTAAAACATCATCACAAAAGAAAGAAAGAAAGAAAGAAAGGAAGGAAGGAAGGAAGGAAGGAAGGAAGGAAGGAAGGAAGGAAGGAAGGAAGGAAGTGGAGGCCAGGGAACAAAATAAATCATCAGTGAAAATACAGTTAAATTATTGCCCATTTGAGACAGTGTGTCAATTTGGACCCACAAACTATACAAAAAAAAAAGTCCAGACCAGCCCCCATCCAAGCCCACACCTGCTCAGGTCAAACTTTGGAGCCATATCTGCCCCCATGCCCTGCAGTGCCCTCTGCACACACCTGGAAATTCCCGTTGTGCACAGTGTAGAGGGGCTGGAAGAACACTGCTGGTGAAGGCACGTTCTGGTGGAAGGTTTTCTTCACCCTGAGGCCAGGAAGGGACAGTCAGAGCCTGCAGAGACCCTAGTACAGGCTCCTCCCAAGGCCACACTCCAGAAAGTCTGAGGTCACTGCAGAGACGGAGCTCTCGTCCAGCCCAAAGATGTCAACCTGCCTCACCCAGGCTGCTGCCCCTCCCTCCCTCTTGCTCCTCAGAGGACTGGGCATGATGGTTCACTTCTGTAGTCCCAGCTACTCAGGAGGCCGAGGCAGGAGAGTTGCTTGAGCCCAAGAGTTCAAGATCAGCTTTGGCAACATAGTAAGATTCATTCTCAAGAACATACCAACCCACCCACCCTATGGACAAACCCACTCTCAGGGCAAAACACAAATGGCAGGCTGTGACCTCTCTGGCTAATGCCCCATAGAACTGATTTATACCAAGGCATATGTCTTTTCCAGGTGAGCTGCAGCCACAGAGTCAGTGCCTGGAAGTGGCCAGTCCTGCCCTCAGCCCTCAGAGCCAGTAGCTCCAGGAACTGCATGTGTGCTGCTGGCAGATAAGCCCAGCTCCCAATCCACCTGATCACCCAGCTGCCTGCCCAGGACCCACACTCCCTCAAGAGGAAGCCATGCAAGGCTCCAACCCCACAGGGCCAGCTCAACCTCCCTGACCTCCCAGGGCCTAGCCCCTGGAGTTCACCTCAGGGATCACCACTCAAATCCCATCTTCTCTGCCTAAGACCCTGGCAACCCCTCCAAGGTGTTCTGTCTCCTCACCCTCGCTCAAGTCCAATCACCTGTATATCAGTGGTCCATTCTAACCACCTGAACCAAATGGTGTGGCATCACATGCCGCTCTCTTCCTGTGCTCTAAGGAGAAGCTGGCACCCTCCCCACGCCCTCCTGCCCTGTGTCCAACCCTCTTGTTCTCTCCATCATTTGTCTGCAGCTGAACAGTCTCCTCCTCAGTCCTAGATAAGGTTCCTATGACCTCGAAACCTGACATGTGGTTCATAGGTGTGGGGGCTTATCTTGCTCTCTGAGGTGTCTTTAAGGGATGAGAACAGGGTCCTGTGCACCCCAGTTGCTCAAAATCGCACTTCAATACAACATGTGAATAGATGGGCAAACCAAGCAACATCCCCAGTGCCAGGAGACAAGGACCTCAAGTTCCTGAGTCCCAGGAACTCTGGGTCTTTCCACAGTTGGTGGGGACCAAGCATATCACATGTTCAGGTTTACCACAGCACTCCCTCCCTTCTCTCCCCTGTCAACTTGGGGACACACCCACAATGGCCCAGTATGGACACTTGAAAACCCAACTCCATTCAGCACCAGACAATGTAGAGGGGAGGAAAGGAGCAGGGGGGTTGGCCCTGTGTCCCAGACACCACATATCTACACATGCACACAACTAAAACATGCATACACTAAGACATTCACATGTACACACTCACATGTACATGCTAAGACATTGTGTGTGCATGCACTGATAGTCAAGTGTACAGACTCACGCACACACAGTAGCCACCTACCTGGGTGACAGCTTGAACAGGAGGTAGGTCAGGCCAGTCAGAAGCAGAAAGACAGGCACAGCAATAAAAGTGCTGTCTATCCAGCCCCAGGATGGGACCAGGAGGCCTGTGGGCAGGAAAGGAGAGGTTCCCCCCAAGCCTACCTGACAAAGGGTTCCTATCAGTTCCCTGGGCCAAAGAGGAAAGAATCTGGGATGGCCTCAGAGGTTAGTGCAAAGCCTGCTGAAGTCCCTGGGGTGAGTCTCACTCTTGGTCCGCCCCTCCATCTGCCACACGGCTGGTGGTCAGGTCATTGAGCCTTCCCAGCAGCACTGTGCACAGGGTCAGCCTCACCCTCACTAAAGAGACTGAGCCCCGTCTGGCATAGAGTTCCAGGTCACACTCACTCCCAGTGGTAGCCACTAGATGCAGGCTCCTAGGAGCCCAGGGTGTGTTTCCCCTTGCACATCTCAGACTGCAGGGGAAGGGGCCTTGGGGTGAAAAGTAAAGGGGTGGGATGGACAGAAGAGTGGAGGCCAAGCTGTGGATGAGCAGCCGCCATGTGGACCCACCTCCTCGCTGGGGCGAGGGGAAGCACACAGATTGGCTCCACTCACTCCACTGGCCCTCATGACGCTCCTCCTCAGTCACGTCGTCCTCCAGCACGGCCATCCGCACACGCAGCCTGGCCTCATAGGTAGACCCAGGGTCCAACTCGATGGCTTCAAGGATGAGCCAGGTCACCCCCACAATGCGGTCCTTGTGCCGGGCCTGCTGCAGAGCCAGGGAGAGTGAGCAGGTACCAGGTGTGGGGCTGGGTCCAGCTGGAGAGTGCACACAGCAGACCACTCACACACACACACACACATGTGCACACTCACACACAGACACACCCCTGCTCACACCCACACACATCTACAGGCACATTTCACACTCACACACTCAGGCACCCCAGTACACACTCACACATGTAGACACAAAGCACAGGCACACACATGTACACTCACATACAAACACACAAACACGTCCACACACAGGCATGCTCACCACCTACTGTGTGCACACATACACACGTACACCGGCATACTTATATACATGGGGATGATGCATGTACACACACACCGGGCTCTGGCCTCCTCCCCTCCTCACCATTCACGGCAGCCACTCTGGGGAAGAAAAGACCCAGGGGAGCAAGCCAAAGCGTTACCTCCCAGGCCTCTTCCTGCCTCTTGAGGGCCAGCTCATAGCTGAGAAGTGTGGTCATTGGCTCCAGGGCAGGGCTGATGGTCCAGGTCAGGACACAGGAGCCAGAGCTGATGTTGCTGTGCAGGTCAGAGGGAGGGTCCAACTTAACTGAAACAAAATGGATATGTGAGGTCTTCAGCATGCCAAGATCCAGGGCACTAAGATTCCCGTGATGCATGGTGAAGGCCCCTTCAGACTAGGGGAGTCACTGGAAGACAGGGACAGAACAACTATCCTAGCCCCTGTAGCAAGGAGGTTTCCCGATGCTGCTCCCCTTTCCTTCACACTCTGCTGCTGGACTCCTTCCTGCTCTGACTGGAGAACATTTCTAGTGATGTGAACCCAACTCAGCCCCCACCCCAGCTGGCCCTGCATCTTCATCCTCTGCCCATACCCTGGCCCTGCAGTAAGTAGCACATGGCCATCCCCTCCCAGGGTCACCTGCTTCCAGCCCCAGGTCTCCCTTGGCAAGGACTCAAGACCACAGGGGTCACAGGCTGAGGGCCCTGCCTCCACCTGCCAAGCAGTAGGCTGGCCCTGGGAAGGCACCCCTGCTCACCATGTCTCCGGGGCAGGTACTGTGGGTCCACCAGGCTGACCTGCTCCTTCCCAGAGACACAGCGGTGGAGAGTGATGGTGAAGTTGTCAGAGGGCAAGAGCACCTCCTCAGGGGGCAGCTCCAGGGTGCAGGCACTGCCTTGGAAGATGCACTTGTGCTTGCTGCCAGGTGCCTGGTTGCTGGAAAGGCCATACATCAGCACCAGGGCAAGATGCTTCCAGGGATGGGGGGCTGCATTCCCACCACCCTTCCCCTCACCTAGTGAAGAGGAGCCAGGGGCCAGAGACAGGACCCAGGTCTGGGGCAGGCCAGTGGCAATCGATCCTGAGGATGTTGTTGGTGAGGCAGGTGAAGGTTCCAGCCCATGGCCCTGGGGATGAGACCATTGGAGCCTGTACCAGGTGCTTCTGGGCAGAGCTGATGGGGCAGGGGCAAGAGAGGGCCTGACAGCTGAACCCTAACAAGGCAGTCTCCAGAGAATGACCAAGGAGAATCTGTCAAAGGCAGGTCTGGGGGGCCTGGGGGTAATGGGCTCAGTCCATGTACATAGGGAAGTCAGGACCAAGACGAGGGCACAGGAAGCCTAGGGTCAATGGGACCCCGGAGGACAGGTCCTAGCAATCTGGGTCCATTCTTCTCCCAGGGATGCCCCCACTTCCAGTCCCTAACTCTCCATCCAGCTGCCCCACACAGACACAAGTGCCCAATACTCACCTCCTCCCTCCTCAGGGACAGAAACTCCCCAGCAGGCACAGGTACAGAATAGGAGCCATGTGCCCAGATCTCGAATCAGGGCCTCACTCTCCAAGGTCCAACCTGCAAGGAACTAGACTGAGAGGCCTATGCCTCTCTGGGTGGGAAGTTCCCTGAGATTCCACTTAGCAGAGGCTCTGAATGGGATATCACCTTCACCATCACCATTTCCAATGAAAGAAACCAGGCATCCCTGTCTAATCTTCACTGGTAAGAATCCGCAGCTCAGAAGGATCACTTGACCCAACCAAGGACTGTGGCTTCCATGTGCAAGACACAGCTTCCTGGAGTCTGAGAGCAGCATCTCCATGTATGCCTACAAGGCCCTCTCTGAGACCGCCATCCTCTGCCTGTCCTTCCCCCTAGGCCAGGCCCAGGCCCACACTGAAGGGCAGTCAGGATTGGGGAAAACTGTCAGGCCCACGGAGCTCTTTCCTGGGTGTCACATGCTGTGCCAACTGTGGAAACTGCACTTTGTACTTTGGTTTTGACAATCATGAGAAAGGCTGTTGGGTTCATAACACGAAAGCAGATGCCAAGGAGGGGAAGGGCCTTGACCCAGGGGCACACATTAACCTTCAATCATGCGTAGCTAGCCGCCCTGCCTTTTGCTGCCCTAAATGAAGACCTGTTGTAGCTCTGCCTCAGTAACATGGTTGAGGGTGGCAGTAGGTGTCCATGCAACAGATGGCACTTGCCAAAATGCCCATCATCTCTCTATTCCCAGGTGTTCTACACCCCAAGAAGGACAAGCCCGTTTGCTGAGGATCCCTGGGGGAGCCAGAGATTGACTACAGACAGAGGGATCAGGAAGCTCCTGGCTATGGGGAAGCTGCTGACGCCCTATCACCCCATTTGCAGTTACAGATGGCTCGCTGATAGCCCCTAAGCAGGAAGCAGGGCCAGCTGGGTTACACAAGCCCGATTAGTGATAAGGAAGAAAAAGGAAGCAGACAGATCAGAGCATGCTTACCCCCCAGAAGCCTCATCCCTCAGCAGGTACCTACCCACCTTAGCACCCCAGGGACAAACCACTGATAAGACCCAATCTTCCCTGGAAAGGAGTATGCACTCTGGCACTACCAGCAGCAGCATGAAAGGCAAGTTCTCCATGGTAATGTCTGGAAGCTGGGGATGTAGCTCAGTGGTAGAGCACTTGCCTAGCATGTCCCCTCCTGTGATACTTACTGGCACTGTCAGTCCATTCAGGGTGGGAAGGCACCAAGGCCTGGTAAAAGCTCATCACAGCAGCCACTTCCTGCTAAGAGCTGGCCCAGACCCCTGTGGTGACTCTGTTCCAGGAGAGGCACCCACCCAGCCCAGCCACAGGTTGGCCCAGGAGCAGGTGGCTGGAAAGCAGGCAATCAGGTATCTCTCAGCTCCACAGTCCCCCTCTATAGACCAGGTGGGAAGAATAGTGGGCAGAATGCATACAAGAGGAGTGACAGAGAGCTAGGTGCCACCAGCAGCAACCTGGGGAAACTGAGGCCCAGAGAGACCAGAGACTTGCCCCACATGTAGCACATGGCAGCTCTGTTCTTAGTAGGGGTCCTCCTAGCTCCCACACAGACACAGCCTGAAGCTGCCTGAGGGCAATGTGTGAGTCCATCAGTACACACCCACTGAGAACCACACAAAGGGGGTGAAGCCTCAGGGCATCACAGATCTCCCTTTAAGTCACTGCACACATGGGATGAGACATTACAGAGGGAGGCAAACCCTGGGCCAGCTAGTCAGCATAGTACCCCTTGGTCCTCCAAGAGGTGCCAGGTTGGCTCCAGGGAAGTCTCTCATAGCAGGTCACAGGATGGTGTGAGAACAAGAGGGGAAGCCAGAGTCTCCATCACCAGACAGAGGTGCTTCCTGACACCCTGGCTGACACCAGGGACTAGTATGGCCTTCCTCATCAGGTCTGCAAACACAACACAAAGCCCACTGGTCCACATCTGGCCCAGATGGCCTACCTATCCTGGATTTCTGAGATACCATGAATTTGTGGGATGCCCTGTAGCTGGAACCCTGGCTTTGACCATGGGGTCTGCCAGCCCCAGGGAAGGGTATCCATATAGGCCCTGCATATATGGTATCCATATTGGCCCTCAGGCCCCACTATTCCTCCCACTCCAGAGCAAGCCACCATCATGGGGGATGTCCAGGAGGCTTTGGACTCCTTAGTGCCTTGCAGGACATGCTCCAAATTGGCTCCACTGGGGACCAGTCACTGTATTCACTTACTGTCACACAGAACCTATTATATATTTTGTGTGTGTGTGTACGTGTGTACGTGTGGTTCTGGGAACGAACCCAGGGCCAGGAGAGTGCTCTACACTGAGCCACACCCCAGCCCTGGTTTTTATCTTAATGGGGGAAGACATGAGATTTTGTTTCTCTTGCCCACATCTAAAGCTAGAGGATGTGGAGGCAGATGGATGGAGGTTACTATTTAAATAAACCCTTGTCCAGCACTGTCTTCTCTCTGCTGGAGGTGAAGAAAGAAATGCAGATTCTAGCTGCCAGAAGCAGCTGCACCCTGGGGCACATGGAGGCTATGCCAGGAGATAGGGCTGAAAATGGAAGCAGGAGAGAACTCCCTCTTTGGGTCACACAGGATATGGCCTTCTCAGGCACCAGGGGAACTCCCAAAGCTGTTGGGCACAGGTTGGTGATCCTGATGGGTCTGGGTATACATAGGGAGCAGAAGGGACAGTGTGGGCAGGCCAGCTGCTTGAGGACAAAGATAACAGACAAGAGGGGCCAGACACAACGGCTCACACTTGTAATCTCAGTGACTCAAGTTTGAGCAGGAGGATTGTGAGTTTGAGGGCAGCTTCAGCAACTTAGAAAGACCTGTCTCAAAGCAATAAATTTAAAAGGCTGGGGATGTAGCTCAGTGGTAAAACACTCCTAGGTTCAATGCCCAGGTGTGGAGGAAGGAGATACAGGGAGACACAGAGAAGGTCAGGAATCGGGGAGGGGTTCCTAGAAGCATCTTGCCACACATTTTCTGGCAGGGAGGGTGCATGGGGGTCAGGGGTTTGGGGGCACACCAAGCTGAAGTTCAGGAGAGAAGAGGGCTGGACCAGAGATGCTGGGTAGATAAGGGCACAGACCCAGGATGTGGGGGGAAAGGGCAAGGACAGTGCCCAAAGAGCACGGGGGTGGGAGGGGAGGGGTCAGAGAGCCTGCACGGGTGAGCACAAGCCTACCGCCTGGCCCCCTTCACTCTATGCCCTGGGCCTGGCTTCTTCCCCATCATGGTGCTCTCTGCAGCTCGCCTCCAGCCCCCAATCTATCTCCCCAGGCAGAGTGTGCCAGGGCACAGTGCAGGAGCTGATGAGGTTCTCCTCAGGGCCTGGGGAACTATGCCCACTACTCCTGCTGCCTCAGTGGGGGGCAACCCTCTTCCAGCATCCCCCTCCCAGTCCAGCAATCCCCCTGAAGGTGAAGCTCACTGCTCTGTGGAGTCCCAGTAGGGACCAGGCTCCAGGGTGACCTGCAGATTTCTGCTATCTTCTTCCCAAATGTTCCCCCACCTTATACAGAGGCCACCCTGGTCATCCATGAAGGCAACAAAGGAACGGAATTTGAACTCACACCAGGAGGGTTTCCACTGACCTCACAAGGCCAGAGGGGAGCCCAGAACAGCAGGCCCATTTCCTCAAGCCCCTCATGAGAACAGCTAGCCCAGAGCCCCAGGGGATGCAGAGGGCATTGCTTCCTCAGGAAAGCACCCTCTTCCCTTCTGCCTGCTTGGCTGAGCTGACCCTCCTGGAATCCCACCTGCACCTGCTGCCTCCCAGCTCCTCCTCTGCCCTGAAGCCCCCAGAGGCCTGGGAGCTCAGAGGGGCTTTACCTGCCCCAGAGCCTCACTTATACCTCATGGCCATGACAACGCCATTTGCTCTCATGCCCACAAAGGTCAACTCAGTCACAGAAGAAGTTTCTTCCATAATGAGAAGCACCCTTCCCCTGTCCAGATGGAGCATGACCACACAGACCACAATGGTACCCATGCCGCCTGAAGGCCTGGAAATTGCAGTGTATGATTTTATGGTCAGCACTGCAAATTCTACAGTCTCAGATATGCTAAGGCCAGAGCACCAGAGGACGAAAAATTAGGAAGAAGCTCCCAAATGCCACGGTTGTTCCCTGGGCCCAGGGATAGAGGACCACTTGTCTCTCTCTGCTTCCTGAAGTTCATGCTACGGTCAGAGGTTGATGAACCCAGAATACAGACTCACCTTCCCAAATGCATCTGCCCAGTGCCATTGAGTCTCAGCATCACCAGCCCAGAGGCAACCTGCTGTGACAGTCCTTGATGTGCAGCAAAGCCCCTCACCTGATCCAGGAGATAACCACAGCGGCAGTGACGTGGCCTCATGACAGGCTGACACAGGCCACCCACATCTTAAACCACGGCACAAAGCAGAGTAACCCTCATGGAGCTGAGAGATGCCTGTCACTGCTTACCACAGGCCCTGTGACACTGAGTTGCCAAACCTGGGTGTTAGTGATCTGTCTCCTGACTGGCAGATGGGAGTCTACTGTGCTTCTCCCGAGAACCAGAGCACCACCGTCAAGATGCACTGAACTAGCAGAGGAAGCAAGGACCCTGACAGCAGAGTAGGGCCCTCACCCCTCCCAGGTTTTTCCAGAACCAGAGGTGCAGTTCTTCCACCAACAAGACCAGCTGTGAGCAGCAGGGGCAGGGTGGGTGCGAAACATAAAGGTCAAACAAACTCAGTCAAGGAAAACAAACAGCACAGAGGGACTAACTGAAATGGGAGATGCCTACTTAGCGTGCCCAGAGGTGGCCCTTGCCAGCAATTTAGCCAAAATCCTTCTAGACACCTTTTAAGCTCATTCAAATAAGCACATATTCTTAACGGACTCAGACTGTGCTATTAGCAGGTGGCTTCCTTGTACTTCTGGCTATTTGCAACCTCTTTCTAGGTTGTCACAGGCAAATCTTCCTCATGCATTGAATGGCAGTATATGTCATGATTTAATAGTTCCTTAAATGGACTTTTGCACCATTACATACAGTATTTTACATGGAGGTGATGCACAATTCTAGGCATAGATCTCTAATCAACAGAAGGAGTACTTCCATAAAAATGTTTGCTAACAGTGGAATCAGGGGGCCTCAAGGTTGACATTTAAAAACACTCATAGATACCCCAAGTGGCCCTACAAAAACAGGGCACCAACTTCCACTCGCACCAGCACTGTGAGAACACTCATAACCCTTGTTTACAGCAAACATTATCAGTCTTTTTAATCTGTGCTGGTCTGATAGGCAAAGATATTTCAATGTTTTTTTAAATTTTGTACTTCCTTGATAATTAGTTAAGAGAAGCATCTTTTCATGTACACATTGACTATATGTTCTTTGTTGTGCCACATAAGATCATATTTCAGTGTGTGAGAGTGTTCATGCACACATGTGTGCTGTGTGTGTCCTGTGCAGCAGCTCTCTGAAGAGACAGACCCAAAGGCTCAAGTCATGAAACAGCTTAGCAATGACTGACCAGAGATATATCATATTTATCTGCTTTTGGTTTTTTTTAGATTTTTGATAGCATCTTTATCCTGCTAATTCCTTGCTTATATGATACAAATATATAGTAGATTCCACAAAAATACATTTTTTTAAACACAAAAGAGACTTTGTTCAAGACTATTGCAGTAGGAGACAGGCCCAGAACTCTGTCTAATAAGCTCCACTCCACAAAAACAAAGTGCTGGAGAGTTTTTGAGAACTAAGGGGGAGGAGGTTGAGGCCACCAGGTTTGCTAATTGGCCTTACCAAAAGAAAGTGTGTTCTCCCATCTTTACATGTGCAGCACAGGCACTTCTGAAGTCAAGCTCCTGTCCTGACATAGAGACTGGGGGATGAGGTACTGTCTTCCTTGACAATTACACTTCCGCAATGGCTCCCAGATCCTTGAGAAAGACATTCCTGGATTAGAAAAAGGTCAAAAAGCTTTTAAGAGAGTTTTACATCTGGAAGGGGCTGGAAATTTATAATTAGAATTTATATTTAGAATTTTTCTAAATGTTCTAAGAAAAGAGGTCAGGAGCCAACAGCCTGTTTCAAAGTTGGTTGATCTGAGGTTGGTTGATTGGTATAAATGATCATGGTCACTTGCAATAATTYTATAATATAAAGGAGATGTGTCATTCTCCCAGAGGTCAAGCTCCTCTACTTATCCCACTGCAAGGTATAGGTTACCATGCACAGTGAAGTGAGAAGATGGGGAGCAGAGACTCAGAGCYGGTGAACACAGTGCTTTCCAGGAGGCAGACTCTGGTCTTGGAGGTGTGTTCACATTCCACGGGGATTCCAAAGCTAACTCCCTTAGTTTTCTGGTGATGCTATGTAGAGTTTACATTTGCTCCCACAACTAACAACTGCCATTTTCTCCTGAGTTTCTCTTTTTTTTCCCCTTTATGTATGAACTCTCTTGATTTCAGAGGTTCAGTCCACAACAGGTAGGCCAACTCCAGAGCTCTGGGTCTGAGGCAAGGCAGGACATCATGATGGATGGATGTGGCAGAAGAGAGTAGCTCAGGTAGTAGCCACAGGAAGGAGAGAGGGGAAGAGAGAGGGAGAGAGAGAGAGGATGGAAAGGGAGAGGGAGTGGGAGAGAGAGAAAGAGAAGGAGAGAGTGTGCAAGACAGCACAAAAGTACATCTTCACCAGTGGATACAGGCGTGAGGTCAGTGCTTCTTCCCTTAGAAAATGCACGAATGGCACACCCCTGATCGCCCACCCTCTTCCACAGCACATGAAGGTACCCAGAAAACAACATCCACAGACAGGCAAGGAAGCCACAGTTATGAAGAGGAGCACCTGGCCGGAGTCACCATGGAAACAAGTCACCAAATGAGGGAGAGGCATGTTGCCAGGGTCGTATGCTGATTGGACTACAGGAGGTAGAACAGGGTCAGCAAACCACACCAGTCAAGTCCAGACTATGATTTTTTTAAACCTGTGAATTTAGAAAGATTGATACTTCTTTTTTCAGTAGTGGGACTGAACCCAGGGCCTTCTACCGAGCTACACCCCCATTCTGCTTCATACACTTGTAAATGGTTTGAATTCTTTATGAACTGCATTAACACATAAAAATCAGATGAAATTCAAAATTCAGTGTCCATGGAGTTGTGGAGCCTTTTGGTGTTTGTTTTGTTGCTTTTGAGACAAAGTCTTGTGGTTTCCCAGGCTGGCCCTGAACTTGTGATCCTCCTACCTCAGTCTCCCAAGTAGTTAGGTTACAGGTGTGCACCAACACACCTGGCTAGAGTTTTTTTTTTTTTTTAATAAATGTGCTTACTGTATTTTAAAATACACACAACATAAAATTTGGCATCTTGGCCACTTTTCAGCATTCACACTCAGTCGTCATGCTGTCCCCACCAGAGGCCTCAACATCTGTGCACAAAGGAAGCTCCACACCACTAAACAAGGCCACACCCACCTCTCCCCTCACCCTACCCAATAGAGAGCAGCAACTACCCTTCTACTTTCTACAAGCAAACTGACATAGTTGGGGACCYCCATGAGAAACAGGACCCCCTTGGGAATAAGGAAAATAAGACAGACAAGTCAGCTCTCTATCTTATGGGGTTAAGAGCCACACCAGGAAATTAGGAGTCAAAAGGTAAACTAGCTTACCAGGTGCAGTGGTATACACCTGTAATCCCAGCAGCTCTGGAGGCTGAGGCCGGAGGAAATCAAGTTCAAAGCCAGCCTCCACAACAGCAAGGGACTAAGCAACTCAAATTTACCAGTCTGAGCCTCCAAATTTTCTGATAAGAAGTCTGCTGATAATGGTATTGAGGATCCCTCATATGATACAAGTCACTTCTGCTGATTTCAAGATGGTTTCAGCTAGGTGTGGTGGCACACTCCTATAATACCAGTTCCTCCAGAGGCTAAGGCAGGAGGATTAAACATCTGAGGCTAACAACTGTGAGACTCTGTCTCAAAATAAAAAGGGCTGGGGATGTGGCTCAGTGCACAAGGCTATGGGTTCAACTCCCAGTACCAAAAAAAAAAAAAAAAAAAAAAAAATTCTCCCTGGTGAAAGCTTGATTATATTTGGTCTTATTTGTGTTGCCATGGGTCTCGGAGTTCTATCCACAAGTTCACTGAGCCCCTTGGATGTTTTTATTCATCCTTTGTCAAAGGTGGGTCATTTTTTTKTKKGTGTGTGTGGGGGGGAGCAGTGTGCTGAGGGTGCTTTACCAGAGAGCCACATCCCAAGATCTTTTATTTATTTTGAGACAGGGTCTCACTGAGCTGCCTCCACCACCTGGGTCTCTGGGATTACAGGTGTGTGCCACCATGCCCAGCTTCATTCTCTTCATATATTCTTGCCACCCCTCTCACCCCCTCCAGGACTCCCAGAATGCATGTTGGTCCACTTAGTGTAACAGAGGTATCTTGAGCTCTCTGTTCACTTTTCAGACTCAGTAATTACTGAGTTACTGGCATAACTTCACAGATTTTCTCCTCTGCTCAAATCTACCTTTGTGTCACTCCAGCAAATTTTCATTTCAGTTATCAAACTTTAAGCTCCAGAATTTTTATTTATTTTTTTGTTTGTGGTGGTTTTGTGGTGTTTGTTGTTGCTGTTTGTTTTGTTGTGTTTTTTTTTTTTTTTTTTTTGGTCTATTGACATTTCCATTTTGTTTGTGTATGTGGAACCCAGGAGCACTCTACCACTGAGCTATGCCCCCAGCCCTTTCTATTTTTTGTTTAGAGGCAGGGCCTTGATAAGTGGCCCAGGTTGGCTTTGAACTTGCAATCTTCCTGCCTCAGCCTCCTGGATACCTGGAATTGCAGGTGTGGCCACCAGACCTGGCCATGCATTTTTTTTACTTGTCCACATCTTCTCTTAGTTGTCCAAGCATCTGTTAAATCAAGTGGTTAAAATCTTTTTCTGTCAAGCCCACAAGCTGGTCTCTCTCAAGAACAATTTCTGTTGGTATTGCATTTGAAGGGGCCATCCCTTCCTATTTCTTTCTAACCTTTTGTGATTTCTTACTGAAATCTGGTATTTGCATCTAATAATAACATTATTAGAAATCAGACTCTCTCCTCTGAGGGTTTACTGATCTCTTCTTTGTTGGGGTAAACAGTTGTGTCAAGAGTCCACTAGCCTGAGATGCTTACGTCTCTGCCCTACTCTGAGCATATGTTGTAACCTCCTCAACTCCCCCATATGTGGTTGGTTTTGAAGGTCTAAGACTTTAAAGTTTCGCTTACAAAAATTGACAAAGAGGGACTGGAGATGTGGCTGAAGCGGTAGTGTGCTCGCCTGGCATGCGCACAGCCCTGGGTTCAATCCTCAGCACCACATACAAATAAAGATGTTTGTTGTGTCACCGAAAACTAAAAAAATTTTTTAAAAAATTGACAAAGAGAAAAATAAGGGATACACAATTGCTGGCTCTCCAAACCCCCTGGGAGTTCTTCAGCTGAAAGGGGTGGCCTGTAGGGCAGGCTAACAATGGCTGCCTGCATGTGCCTGCACCTCAAACCGGAGAGGCAGCAATCACAACACTGGAGGACAGAGCCCTCCTGCTCAACCTGGCCCCTACAGGTGGTAGATGCGGGTATCAGGGCTGGGGGCTGGGGAGCTGCTAGGAGCTCAAGCAGACAAGAGAAAATTTTGGCTTACCAAAGTTAATCACCATCAGTCAACAACCAAGGCTTCATCTGGAAGTTCCAAAACAGTTACATCAGGCAGATTTTGCCAGTGCAGCTGCTGCCTGGGGAGACAGACTCTATCCTCCCGGAACCCCAGGTGTGAACAGAGCCCTACTGGTGCCCAGTGGCACTCACTGGCCAGTGTCCATCACTGTTTCCACAGCACTTCACCATGGTGCTTGGYCTGTGGCACCTAGATGGTGCAGTTACCAATGAGGGCTTCAAGGACTGCCACACTGCCACCACATAACATCGGTTTGCTTATTACTAGTGCATAAGCATCCTGTCAAAATAAGAAAGGTGAGCTGGTTGCAGTGGCACATACTTGTCACCCAGGAAGCTCAGAAGGCTGAGCAGGAGGATTGTCAAATGCAAGGTCACCTGAGCAACTTACCATGACTCTGTCCCAAAATAAAATAAATAAAATAAAATAAAAAGGGGTGGGGACGTGGCTCAGTGATAGAGTGCTTTCCTGGCATGGGCAAAGGCCTGGGTTCAATTCCCAGCACTGACAAGTAAAACTGTGACTTGGGCTGGGGCTGGGGCTGGGGCTCAGTGGCAGAGCACTTGCCTAGCATGTGTGAGGCACTGGGTTCCATCCTTAGCACCATATACAAAAATAATAAAACAAAGGCTTGCTATCTGCGAGGACGAGGCTGCGAGCCAGTGACGTTTCCCTGTGGCTCCTTTGTCAGCCAAGCAAAGAAAGCCCTTTACTGTTGGTGGCTCAGTGGGAGGCCGCAGCAGAGGAAGCAGAGGAAGCATGCCAGAGGAAGCAAGTCTAAGGCTACTGGCCTTTTAGCACAAAGGTGTTCTGAGAGAGAAGAACTGAGAACTATGACAGTCCATCAAAGCAAGAGAATGGCTGGAAGTCGTTTCTGGGGCTCTTGCTGAGTAGACAGATGCTACTGCTGATCTGAAGAGTTACGCCCTTAAGGCTGAGCTGGGCACTGCAACCAGCCCCAAGCAAAGGCGGCAGAGAACTACAGCTGCAGGCAGGAGGATCTGCACAGTCAGCAAGACCCATTCAGTAGAACCTGAAATGTTCTACTAGCATGCACAAGGCCCTGGGTTCAATCCCTGGTATGGCAAAAAAGGAAAACTAAAAAAGGTTTATAAACCTGGAAACCACCTATTACCATCTCCATTGTACAGATGAGGAAGTACTATCCACCAAGCTAGCTTCAGAGTCCATGATCTATACAACTGATCCCTACCACCTCCCAACAACCTTAAACACAAGAACTGGAGCCTAAGGAAACAACACTAATGGCCCAGGCAGAAGACACTAAGGATAAGTGCCAGGCACAGCAGCATGTATCTGCATCTGTAGTCCCAGCTATGCAGGAGGCCAAGGTGGAGACTGGCTGGAGCCCAGGAGTTCTACCCCAGACAACATGGTGAGAACTAGTCTCAAAAAATAAACAAAGTCAAGTAGCACACACCTGTAATCTAGCAACTTGGGAGGCTGAGACAGGAAGATGGCAATTTTGAGGCCAGCCTCAGCAACTTAGTGAGACCTTGTCTTAAAAAAAAAATAATAAAGTCTGGGTATGTGGCTCAATGGGAGAGCACCCCTGGTTCAATCCCSGAAGTACTGAAAAACAAAACATTTAGGTATAATGGGCTCAGGACCTGGTCAATGTGTTATAATAATAGAAAATAATCACAATTCCATGTAAAGATGACATCATTTCTGGAAAAGATGACATCATTTCTGGAAATGATACCAGTCTCAAAAAAGTATCAAAGGCAGAAATTTGAGTTTCATGATTTTATAAGAATTCACTATTAAGAGATTTGGTTATATCCCATCTGATTCAAATGTATGATATGTCAAGGTCATTATACTGACATGTGTAATTAAAACAAATAATTAAAAAAAAGAGAGATTTGGTAGGAGGTGAAGATTTAGAAATAATTTAAAGAAAGGGCCCTGGGGGGATAGGAAGGGCAGCAGAATAAAATAGACATTATTATTGCTGTATGTATAWAGGTGACTGTATGACCAATGTGATTCTGCAACCTGTACAATCAGAAAAATGAGAAATTATACCCCATTTGATTCAAATGTATGAATTGTCAAGATCATTGTACTGTCATGTGTAACTAATAAAATAAATAAATAAAAATAAAGACAGGGCCCTGAGCAAGATTCAATCTATCAACTAGATCTTGTTTCCAGCTAGTCTGAGGTGTCCTTTTTCTTTGAATAGAAAGATTAACATAGAAACTATAAAAGCACGCTAACACATTTATTGCAACCCCAGGAAGCGATTCAAGGAAAGTTTAAAAAATGAAATAAGTCCAGTGTGGGGCTGGGGACATAGCTCAGTTGGTAGAGTGCTTGCCTAGCATGCACAAGGCCCTGGGTTCAATCCCTAGCACCACAAAAAAAAAAAAAAAAAAAAAAAGGAAGGAAGGAGTAGTGACTAAGAAGACTGAAGCAGGAGGTTCACAAACTCATGGACAGCCTAGGCAATCTGGTGAAAGAAAAAAAAGAAAGAAATTCATATCTTAGCAATTCTATAACCTGTTTAAACTTAAGCATAGGAGTTGATGTGGAGAGATCAATGTGYTTTGGGGTTTGGTATTTCTTAAAATATTTAAAACACTGGGGCTAGGATTGTGGCTCAGCAGTAGAGCGCTCGCCTAGCACGGGCAGGACCCGGGTTCGATTCTCAGCACCACATWAAAAAATAATAATAATAAAGCATTGTGTTGTGTCCATCTACAAAAAAGATTCTCTCTCTCTCTCTCTCTAAAAAAAAGAAAAAAAAAACACTGAGAAAATAGTATTAAACTTCATTTTTATGAGACATTCAAAACAAGTTTTGGTTACAGGCTTATAATTAACAGTTAAATATTTAGGAAAATTTAAAGTACTAAGTTGTGCAAACAGTGGAGTATTCATTGGTGGTGAGAAAATGTCATCTGCCTAGTGAATGTAAAAGGAGAATGAGCAGGACTTTAAACCCAGCACACTTCCCTGTGGGTCTCCTCCCCACACACAGCAACTCCCTGACTGGCAGGCRGGCTCCATTTCCTGACACCCTGGTCTTTCATCCCAAGGGGCGAACTTCCCACTACACCAGCGAAGACCCTCAGAACACATGATTCGTATCCCGCTGGGCGTCAACGGTGTAGCTGGGCCTAGTCCCTCCAGCGGTGTCCGCACTGAGCATTGCAGCACTTGTAGAAGGTGGTCATGGGTTCGTCTGCAGAGCGGGTCTGGAGTTGCATGAAGTAAGCTCGAGGATGTTCGCATTTGGGACATGGCTCTGGCAAGGAGAAGAATCAAGCAACCCAGTTATACAAAAATAATGCTGGTGAAGAACCTACCTCTTAAGAGGAAAAAATTATGTTAAAGGTGTGAAGCCTCCCTGCTCATCGGGCCTCCCTTGCAATAATATGTCTATAGACATCATTTCCACAACGTACTAAGAGTGAGGAGTCAGAAAGACCTTGAAAACACTCCTCCCAAAGGCACACATCTGCAACCTGGGTGACTTGAGAGGCTGAGGCTGGAGGATTGCAAGTTTGAGGCCAGCCTTGGTAACTCGGCAAAACCCTCAGCAACTTAGTGGGACCCTGTCCCCAAAGTAAAAAATAAAAAGGGCTGGTAATGTGGCTTATTGATAAAGGACCCCTGGGTTCAAACCCCAGTACCAAGAAAAAAACCTCCTTCCCACTCCCTGGATCCTACTTTTCTTCTCAATCTGGCTGAAGACTGGTTGGAGACTTAACTTGCACCATGACTATTTTGTGCTACTGTAACAACATACCTGAGACTGGGCAATGAATAGATGATGGAATGTGTTATGGTTTAGACTTGAAGCATCCCCTAAAAGCTCATGAGTGAGATCATGCAAGAAAGTTCAGAGGTTAAATAATTCAGCTATCAGAGTCTTAATTAATCAGTGCATTAATCCCCTGAAGGGATTAACCAGGTGGTAACTGTAGGCAGGTAGGGTATGACAGGAGGTGGGTCACTGGGGGTGTGCCTTTAGGGTTTATATTTTGTGGGCTCTGCTCTCTCTCTCTCTGCTTCTGGTGGTCTGTCCTAACCTCTTTCCTCGACATTCTTCTGCCATCATTCCCTGCCTCACCTTGATCCCAAAGCAATAGCTGACCACCTATGGACTGAGAACTCTGAAATGATGAGCTCCAAATAAACTTATTCCACTCTAAAATTGTCATCAGTCTTTTGGTTGCAGCAGCAAAAAAGCTTACTAAAACAGAATAGTTTTATTTTTATTTTATTTATTTATTCAATTACAGACCAGGTCTCACTATGTTGCCCAGGTTGGCTTTGAATGCTTGGACTCAAGTGATCATCCTGTCTCAGCCTCCCAAGGAGCTGGAACTAGCTTGGCCTGGTGGCACATGCTCTATAATCTCAGTAACTGGGGAAGCTGAGGTAGGAGGATCTCAAGTTCAAAGCCAACCTCGTTAACTTAGTGAGAAGCCCAAAACAACTCAATGAGATCTTGTCTCCCCAAAAAATAAAAAATAAATAAAAAAAGGACTGGGGACATGAGCTCAACCCCCAGTACCAAAGGAAAAAAAAAAAAAAAAAGAAGACAAAACCAAGTAGCTGGGATTACAGGTGCAAGCCACCACACCCAGCAAAAGCTGGAAGTTTTTAAGTAAATGCTAGAAAAAGCCTGTCGGGCCATGAATGGAGCATTAAGGGGATTCTATTAAGGGTTCAGGAGAAAACAAGAGCTGTACGGAGGGGGCTTCTTCCTGGAGACTGCATACTTGTTGTGAACAGAATACTGGTTGTGGGCCAGGCCCGGTGGCCCACACCTTTGATTCCAGCAGCTCTGGAGGCTGAGAGAGGAGGATTGCAAGTTAAAAGCCAGACTCAGCAATAGCAAGGTACTAAGCAACTCAGTTAGACCCTAGGCTTGGGATGTGACCCAGTGGTCAAGTGCCCCTATGTTCAATCCCTGGTACCAAAAAAAAAAAAGGAATACTGGTTGTATAGTGGCACCACCTACGCCACAGAAAATCTTAATTAAGCTTCTCCAGAAATCTTCCCCATAACTGACCTTAGGAATATCAGCAAAAGAATCTCTAGGAAAGAGTTCAATATAGTTAAGTTTACTATTTCTTGGGYTGGGGATGTGGCTCAAGCGGTAGCGCGCTCGCCTTGCATGCGTGCGACCCGGGTTCGATCCTCAGTACCACATACCAACAAAGATGTTGTGTCTGCCGAGAACTAAAAAAAAAATAAATATTAAAAATTCTCTCTCTCTCTCTCTCTCTCCCTCCCCTCTCTCACTCTCTTTAAAAAAAAAAAAAAAAAAGTTTACTATTTCCTGTTGCTTAACTTACCTGGCCACACAAGATCAGAACTCCAGATGCTAAACACCCCTTTACTAGTTTTTCACAAACATTTATGACCTATCTAGTATAGTAACAATATTTACCACAGTTTATAGAAGTATGTTTGCAAATGCAAAGTGTAATAAAAAAGACAGATCCTTTAACCAGGCTGGTGCTTCACAGAGATGTTTACATTTCAAAGAGAAGAGAAGAGGTTACCAATTGGGCTCCTTGGTAACAGCTGGCAGGGGGAGGGAAGAAAGGCGAGAAGCTCTCCCCTCCTCAGGCACTGTCCTTAAAGGGTTAACCTGCCTAGCTAGAACAGTGAAAGAAAAAGCTGCTTTTGTATGAACTTCTGCAGATTGTGAACTTCTGAGCCCCTCCCCTTACACACTGGGTATAAAGTTCTGAAACTGCCTGAATTTGGGGTTCAGGGGGATTGATGATTGATCACAGCAAAAGCTTTGCCCTCTGAACCTGGCTGTAGCCAAATAAATCTGTTTCCTGCCGTCTTCAGTGTCTTGCCTAGTCTGTCCCAACAACAGTTGAAATAGACTATTCTGACTGGATCTTACAAGGAATGAGCMGCATCTTGTTGGAACAGGGGTACATGTAGGTTGGGGTGGGGGGCACCTGTGTTACAAAGTAGCAAAGAACTTGGCAGAATTATATCCAAGCCCTAGGACTTCATGGAAAACAGAATTTAAGAGCTATGAGGCCCATARTAAGGGGTTCACTGCCCAGGGCTGCCTTGGGTCTCTGCTTCCTGCATTCTTACTGCCAGACCTCCAGAGGACATTGAACCTGCCAGCACCTTGATCTTGGACTTTCCAGCCTCCAGAATGATAAGAGACAAATTTCTGTTTTCTATAAATTACCCAGTCTGTGGCATTCTTCTACAGCAACACCAAGGGACTAAGATAGTGGCTTAAGGCTGCTGTGCACTTTGGGGCTCATGCCACACAGATTCTCCTTGTTAAAAGAATTGGTTCCCCGGACAGTGGACGCGTGCCTTATCTTCCCATTGATGGCTATRTCCAGGGGACATTTTGGCAGCAGCTGTTCTTAGCTCAGGAGCTGTTCTTACCCATATCTTACCACATCCCACACYTTTTCAAAATGCCCAGGGGCACAGATATACCTTGGAATTGATTTAATTCGGAGAAAATGATCCTATTCTCTTGTTTATGTTTTCCAGTGCTGGGATGTGGACCCAGTGCCTCACACATGCTAGGCAAGGGCTCACCACGGAGCCTCACCCCAACCACACAATCCTGCTCTCAGGAAAACACCTTTATACACTCTCTAACATCAGGTCCAGGTCCATAATCCACCTTTTAATGACAAATTCTACCAATGCTAACTTTTTTTTTTTTTTGCTACTGGGAATTGAATTCAGGGGCACTTGACCACTAAGCCACATCCCCAGCCCTATTTTGTATTTTATTTAGAGACAGGGTCTCACTGAGTTGCTTAGCACCTTGCCACACCATTGCTAAGTCTGTCTTTCAACTCATGATTTCCTACCTCAGCCTCCCGAGCCACTAGGATTACAGGCATGCACCACTGTGACTGGCCAACGCTAACTTTTTTTTTTTTTTAATATTTACTTTTTTGTTGTAGCTGGACACAATACGTTTATTTTATTTATTTATTTTTATGTGGTACTGAGGATCGAATCCAGGGTCTCGCTCATGCAAGGCGAGCACTCTACCGCTGAGCCACAACCCCAGCCCCCTCAATGCTAACTTTTACCATAACATACTTATATGTTCTACGGGTGAAAAGACAGTACTGACCTTGAGTTAGCTGTTACCCCTCAAAACAGGCTGTATTGAGGGTCCTTCTCTCTGCTTCCCCAATCACATCTATGTCTACCCAACATGAATCAAGTCTTAAACCTCTATTTCTGTCCAACCTGCACTTGAATACTCCCTGACATCACCTTCCTAAAATCCCTATTAGAATAAGAAGACAATTTATTGTAGACTCTTATTGCCATCATTCCTGCTGCCTTCAGAGCCATCCCCTGAGCGCCTCCTATTTCCCAAGCACTGGACAACTCACTTCTTGCTCACAACCTACAAGTATGAGTTGGCCAGAGAGGTCAGGAGAAGCCTCTGAGGTTCAACCTGGCTTGTATCATTTCAAGGCTTGTATCAATATTTTTTGGGGGTGACAAAATTTTAATAATAAYAAAATAATAAAGAAAAATACCTTTCCTATTATTATTTTTTTCAGTTGTCAATGGACGTTTATTTTATTTATTGATACATGGTGCTGAGAATCCAACCCAGTGCCTCACACATGCTAGGCAAGCGCTCTGCCACTGAGCCACAACCCCAGCCCTATCTTTCCCTTTCTTAGACATGGACACCATTGACTCAACATGGAGTGGCATAGTCCGCAACCTCACAGCTATCCACAGCTCAGCAATGGAAAAGGTCTCTCACCTGCCGTAGAGTCAACATTCTCCCAGGCAGCTGCTCCCCCAAGCACATCATCCACTTCTTTCAGCTTTGGATACTTCCTGTTGGTTACCTAGACAACAAACAAAAACAGCCTTCACACTCCAGTAAGTGAACAATATAAACAAGGACCACCAAACCACAGCAGCCCTCAAGTGCCCCCGACTTCCTTCCCTGAGCTCTGTGGATGCCAAATATAACACAATTCCTGCCTGCACAGAGCAACACACACCAGGGGAACAGGAGGTCCCATGGCTGGGTTGTCCTCCAGGCTGGGCTGTCAGAGACCTCTGCAAAGACTGGAAGCTGCAACTGAGGATGTGGAAGTAGGGACAACAGCTTAGATGGAAGTCAACCAGTAGCACTTAGCTAGGTAACCCAGTCACTCCCCCAGGCAGCCAGCTTTTAAAGCAAGCTACACTTTGTTTCTTTGAACTTTATCAGACATTACTGAAATGTCAGGATTAAGTTGAGGGATAAGGAAAAAAAAGTCCAAGAACATTTTTCCTAAGCTTTTGTGATTTGAAATCCCAGGCCTCAGCCAGTGCAAGGCCTCAGCCAGTGCAAGGAACACAAAAGGACATACAGGTGACTGACACCCCTCGCTAATGGGTCAGTTGATCCCAAAAAGCCACAGAAAATTCCCTATTCACATTCCTGTCCCACCCTAAGGGATCGGCAGGACTCCTACATAATGAACCCCAGGAATTACCTTCCTGTCCCCCCCCAGACCCCCCCCCCGCTTCAGCCCGCCCCATTTTCCGCCCCAGAATTAAGCCATTCCAGGTTTCCACCAGTTGACTCCATCGCTAAATACTTAATAAAAGCTTGGAGATCCGAAGTTTGCTTCCCGTCTCCCCCCTTCGTCCAGTGTGAGTCATTTGTTTTAAATAAGTAGACTCTGAACTCAACGAGACCTACCTCCTAAAATTACTTTTTAGCTGAATTATCAAGGGAAAATAACAAGTCATAAGACAGTGTACACCATTCAWTTGCCGTACGCTCAACTGTACAGTAGACTCCACTCGGGGCATTCGGATTAAAACATACACGGAACAAAGAAACACCCCTGCCCTGCTGAGAGTGTGTCCCAGGATTAACAAATACAGCACATGAGCAAGCTACAAAATATATTTGACGGTAATAAGTCCCATGGGGAAAATAAAGCAAGGCAACTGGAAGAGCCTCAGGCCTCTCCCTCGGGGACGCCAGATAGGGGGCAGCCCGAGACAGCCGGGAGGGGAGTGACTGCGTGGGCTCCCGGAATACCGGGACCTGCTCAGGCAGTTCTGGACACGGCTGTGAGCATCACGCACGGAGCAAGTGGCAAAGAGGTCCCCGGGAGGATCCAGGCCGCAGCCCGGCCAGGGCGATACCACCGGGCTATGGGAGCGACCAGGGGAGAGACGGCATCCAGGGCCCACCTTGCGGGTGACGTTATGCACGTAGGGGCAAGTGTTGCAGGCGAAGCGGTGGCAGCGCTGGCCCTCCTCCACAATCAATCCGTTCCCGCATCCCGGACAGAAGAGGAGCATAGCTCCGACTCCGCCACCTGGGCTCCGCGTCTGCGCGTTCCCGGAAGCAGGAGGCCTCGCATTCCCATTGGTCACCGCAGCCGCCCCGCCCCTCAGCCCAACACTAGTCACGTGTCTGCGCGCTCCCGGTCCGCCCCGCAGCAGACCACCTCGCACCCCTCATTGGTCACCGCAGCCGCCCGCCCCTCCGGCTTACCAATGGCTGAGCTGCCTTACTTGCGCATGCGCGCTCCGCCTCTCCAGAGGTAACTGACGGGACTCTCCGAGCCCCGCGCGCTTGTGGCAACCCTGGAGGAAGTCGAGGCCCCGCGTCAGCCGGAGGAGCAGGAAGACGATGAGGACGAAGAGGAGCTGCTACCGCACTCCGAGGCCGTGGACGTGTTCCAGGAGGGTCTCGCCATGGTAGTGCAGGACCCGCTGCTCTGCGATCTCCCGATCCAGGTGCGCGCGGGCAGCGCCCGGGGCGCGGGTGGGCGGCCGCGGGCGGCCCAGGACAGCACCTCTGGGTGTAAGTGAGCTTTGCTTGGCCAGGCCGAGGCAAAAGAACACTTCCTCACAAGGTAAAAGGTATTTTAACACAATATGTTTAAAAAGTCAAAGTTGAGGGCGGGGGATATAGCTCAGTTTGTAGAGTGCTTGCCTTGCAGGCACAGGGCCCTGGGTTCAATATCACAGGAAAAAAAAAAAAAAGTCAAAGTCGATGCGGGAACCTCCGTGGGAAACAAAGTAACGTGAAGACTAGGTCGTTGTTACTTGATTTTTCCATTTGCCTCAAGCGTCAATATGCTTTAGCACAGACAGTAGTCTACCTAATTTAAAAAAAAAAAAAATTGCCCATCATGGGTCTTTAAAATTAACTTCTACCCCTATAAACAAACACACACACACACACACACACACACACACACACACACACACACACGGTGCTGGAGACAATCACAGGCAGTGTGCCTGCGGGGCACATGCTGTGCCACCCAGCAGCATCCCCAACCCAGTTTGTACTTTCTTAGGTATTCTGTTAAAACACTTGTTATCATTATCATTTTTTGGTGCCTGCTAAGTTTTGCACACCTGTCTCACCCTAGTCCTGAGGCCCTAGCCTGGAACTTAATGCTCAGGGTTCTAAGGGAGAAATATTGGGCCCAGTATTCTTCTGCCTACCAGGCCCCATCCCCATATGGATTTATTCTCCCTGCCTGTTTCTTCACTCCTCTAAAGATATGAATGAAACATGAGGTTGGGGTGCTGAACAACTAAGTAAACCCTAAAATATAGGCAAGAGCCCCTTCTTACCCTTCATAAAATGAGACACCACTTTCTGGCCACTATCAGCTTGTTTTTCTTTGTTGTTCTTTGGGGTGGTAGAGAGTCAGGATTCCCATGTTCACCTTTGGTCTCCTCTAGGTTACGTTGGAAGAGGTCAATTCCCAGATAGCACTAGAATATGGTCAAGCAATGACAGTTCGAGTGTGCAAGATGGATGGGGAAGTAATGCGTAAGTGCCGTCCTCCTCCCATTAGGCCTATACATTCATGTGGACAATGTTAGCAGGACTGGTCAGTGAGAACCTTGGGGGCCATGCCCAAGGATATTAGGGCAGCCACAAACCCGATCTGCAGAGTAGAGCCTGACAGTTCTGGGTTCTCTTGTCATCTGAGGCTCTGTCCCTCATGGATCTTTTCACAYTGTGTCCATGGCTGCAGCTGTGGTTGTAGTGCAGAACGCTACTGTCCTGGACCTGAAGAAGGCCATCCAGAGGCATGTGCAGCTCAGGCAGGAGCGTGAAGGGGGCATTCAGCACATCAGCTGGTAAGTGGAACAGCAGCTTCTTCCTTGGGCTTCTGGGGGCTGGTATGGGCTCCACAAAGAAGTAGTTCTCAGCCACACATGTGCACACTCCCACCGCTTTGCTGCAGATTCAGGCAGAGAGCAATTCTGTGTTGGGACTCCTGCCTCATCTGCTTCTAGACTCTCATGAATATCACCCCACCCAGATATCTTCACTTGTGGATACTTCTGGACCTCAGTGTTGGAAAGTGGTCTCCCTCGTTGAATGCTTCACTTTTCAGTGTCTCCTGCCAGTCCTCACCTAGGTCCTGTCAGCCCTCATGCTCCTATGGATCAAGTGCCCTATAGATGTGTCTAGCACTGTCCCCAGTTTCATCAGTGAAGTGTTTGGCCAGTGCTCACACGTTACCTCCTCACATGTGCATTGCACAGGAAAAAGGCCTAGAGGGAGTGCAGGTGCCCTAGGTGCCCTAGGGCTGAGTGCTGGAGCCTGTCTTATCTGCAGCTCACCTCATCCTGCTCAAGGCAGCACACGGTTTACCTGAGCCCCCTCTTGTAGGTCTTATGTGTGGAGGACATACCATCTGACCTCTGCAGGAGAGAAGCTAACAGAGRACAGGAAGAAGCTCCGAGAGTAAGTTCAGACCACATCTTCAGCTGTGGAGCATCTTGCCTGGTGCCCTCTAGTACCCTATGTTCTGCCAGAGGGCTATAGCAGCAGGGTTCCTGCCCAGACTGACACCTTCCCACAAGTAGCTTCCTTGGGGCACTCCCCATTAGGAGAGTAGCAGGYGGAGGAGCAGCTCCAGACAGCTCCACCCCTGCAGTGCAATGGGAGTGTCTGGGAAGGTGGCCACACAGCCTCTTGGGCTAAGTACCACATTTATCCTCTTTGATTCTCACAGGCCTGGGGGGCAAAGTGGGGGGAATTACAAGTGACCCTTCTATAGGTCAGACACTGTCTGTTTCCTTGTCTTTCAGTTATGGTATCCGGAATCGGGATGAGGTTTCCTTCATCAAAAAGCTGAGGCAAAAGTGACCCCAGGACAGGGACAGCTCTGTTCACTGATGGTCAGTCCTTTCCCAGCAGGATGGAGCCCTCCTTCCATCCTCTCATCAGAAAAGATTTGGGCTCACTGTACTGTCAGCATGAGCCCTGGGGTTCTCAGGACCAGGACAGAGTAAACCTTTGTTCCTTGCTTTCCTATGAACTTGGCCTGGGCTCAAAGACCTTAAAACATGGCAGTTCCCACAGGGCTGTGGGCCTGGCCTTATGTGCAGAATAAATCTGTCTGTTCGCCTCATTTTTTGAATAGTCAAAAAGGCTTAATAGAGAGATCTGTCCCATCACAGAGGGGTGTTTAGGGCAGAGAACTGGTATAGGTAACTCCTGGCATCCAAGATGCCACACCTAAGCCCTGTGGCCACATCACATGGTCTTCATAGCTCTTTGTTTGTTTGTGGGGAAGCAAGAACCCACACCCCAGAGCCTGCAGTAGCAGTCTGGAGACAGATGTGGATGGGGCCTCTACCCACAGGGTCCCCTACAGCAATGCCTTCCCCATCCCATTGTGGGGAAATGTGGCAGCACATCCCTAGGGTCCTAGAGCAAAGTGCACCCTCCTGAGACTGGGGGGCTTCCCTGGGAACTGGAACAGCCTATGGGTGTACTCAAAACTTAGTTCCCTGTGTGGCAGAACTGTGCTGTCAGAGGCCAGGTACCTGCAGGGTCTTCTCCACAGCACTTAGCCAGAAGCCAAGAAGAAGGACACAGCCCTGGTCAACTTAGTGGCAGCTAAAACGCTCCCGGTCCATTTATTGGCCACATGAGGTGGTCGTCAAGGGTCTAGTTAGAAGGTTATCGTGGGAGAGTGTGATAAATGCCCAACAAGATAAAGTCAACAGGAGTGAGCAAGGCACAGGAGGTCTGTCAGGGAAGACAAGTCCCTGAAGAGCAGGCAGAGTCCACAGGCCCCCAAGTCTCAGGGTGGTTGTGGCCATCAGCACCCACAGCTGGCTCAGTGGAGCTGAGCATCCAGTTCGTACTTCTCGCAGAACTTGTCGGTGAAGGGGATACAGGTGAGGAACTCGCACCACTCACAGCGGACAGGATAGAAGTAGAAGAGGACCACCAGGCCGGCCAGCAGGCCTAGGAAGACCACCTGGAAGATGATGATCTGGCAGCGCTTGCGGTACAGGTCAAACTTGCCGAAGCTTATGTAGGGCAGGAAGGCAAAGGAGAGGAAGAGGCCGCTGATGAAGCCTGAGATGTGGGCGAAATTATCAATCCAGGGCAGCAGCCCAAAGGCAAAGAGGAAGAGCACSACAGCCAGCAGCTTGAAGAAGGCACGCCAGGGCCGTGCCAGGATCTGCCAGCTCTGGAAGAGCTCCACAAAGAGGCAGGCCAGGATGCCAAACTGAGAGCCGGCGGGGCCTACCTGTGGGTAGTGGGGTGGCTGTAAGCTGCAGGAATAGGCAGCTCAGCCTCATCTTCCTGCCCCACTCCCAAAGGCAGGAACACATCCAGTGCTCAACACAGGGCGAACCCACAGGCACACAGGGAGGGTCCCTACCCTGGAAGGCAGTTTTACCTCTGCCCTATATGGCAGGAAGATGGCACTGGCCAGGTTGCCAGTGACGCCACTCAGCAGGTAGATGATGGCTATGCGGTGCCAGCCTGCCAGCTTYTCCAGGTCTCGTAGCACAGTCATCTGGAAGCAGATGGACACCAGGCAGTGCAAGATCCTGTGGGTAGTAGGGTACACTCAGAGAAGGTGGCTTCTTGCCACCTTCAGCCAGCCATTCTGAAGTCCCTGAGACTACCCACCCAGCCCACAGATTCACTTGCCCAGCGTGCAGGAACAGGGACAGCCACAGGCGGTAGAACTGGTCAGGCACCTCAGGGTTGAGGAAAGGCAGGAGGCCACACACATCGTCCATGCAGTGCACCTGTGCAGAGTGGCCAGTCAGCACTCACAGTGGCTAGGGAGTAGGGGAGGGACATGCCCTGAGGCCTACCTGAGAGCAGAGTGTGGCCTCCTCGTGGAAATAACCCCTCATGAAGTCACAATACTCCCGGGAGGTGATCTCGCACCTGGAAGGTCAGGGCCCAGATTTGGAGGAGACTGCTAGGTCCAGGGACAGAGGCACCACCACCCTCCCATTGGCCCTTTCTCCTTGTTGGAGCCTTGAGTTTGGGAACTTGGTGGGGGAGAAGGCACAGCCCTGGGCCCAAACTTGTGGCAACTGCATGCTCACCTGCCCTTGGTGCCGACGCAGCAGGGTCGGCCTGTTATGACACAGTCCATGTGAGGGTGGTTGGTGTGGTTCCCGGCACTGCTTTTAGTGCAGATCTGGGTCACAAACAGGGGAGAGCCAAGTCAGCCCCACCTCAACTCTTGCTCTACACCTCACAAGGTAGAAGACAGGACTTCCTGACTTTAAACAGATCCTCACATCTGAGCCTCAGCAGGGCCATCTGTCAAACTGGAATGTCATCAGGCCTTCCAAGTCTATCCAGCCCTCTTGCTCTGAGTAGACACTCAGAGAGACAGCCTTAGGTGATGGACAGGTTGGGCAAAGGCCAGGGGGATGGTATCTGAAAATGGGATGGTCCCACCCAGAGGGGCCTCTGGCATCACTGATGGGTGAGGTGTGACAAGTTGACTTCCCAGCAATTCCCCACCCCAGCTTACCGGCCACTTAGTGATGTCTTCTGGCCACTCATGGGGGTCCTCAGAGGAGGGCTCATCACACACCCTGCGTGAGTCCAGTATGTGRTCAGAGCCTGCTTTGAGCCCCTGGCATTGGCACCCTCCCATTTGAGTCAACAAGGGGATACCTTCACCCTTCTGGGAAAAGCAAGGGCAGAAGAGGGGGCAGCCAGGAAGACTCACCTGGGGTCCTGGTGGCAGACAGAGCCAAACTGCCTCTTGTGGCCGGCAAGGTCTGGGGCGCTGGGATGGACAGGCCACTTCACCCACACTGCTAGGGTGGACTGTAAGAACACAGGGTCAGCCCTGGTCAGAGCCCATTCCTTGCCAAGTTTAGTCAGCAGTGAGGGCTCGAAGCCAGAGTCACAGGCACAGTCCCCACCACTCTACCCCTAATCATTCAGATGCCTGATTCAGTCATCGAGAAATTCTGGCACTAGGAGCATAATTGCCAGTTGCTTTTTATATATTTGTTTGTTTGTGAGGTAATGGGGATCGAATACAGAGGTGCTTTACCACTGAGCCACATCCTCAGCCCTTCTTGTTATTTTGAGACGGGTCTCAAGCTAGCCCTGAACTTGTCATCCTACTGCATCCATTTCCCACCTAGCTGGGATTACAGGCATACCCTACAGCACCTTGCTCCTATTAGCTTTTCAAAAACAGCCTCTGCATCCTTAATCAGGGGACTGGTATAAACTATGGTACGGCCACAAAAGATGCGGGGGGGGGGGGGGACAAAACACGAATGCCTCTTTTTTTTTTTAAAACAATATCACTTAGTGGAGAAAATTACAGCACTRCCATTAAGGTCAACTTTAAGATACCTGCACACAGACTAGACAGGTGCTGAAAGAGTACACCCAAACCAAGGTCAAAAGTCAAATGAACCTCCTGGTTGAGGAACCAGGGATGGAGGAGTGAACAGACATCAAAGTGGCAGGAAGGGCCTCGTGTGGGCAATGCTACATGCCAAGAGCRGGGGTCGAAAGAAACTCAGTGGGGCCTGAGTCTAAAGGTAACTGCGGACACAGCATACACAAGGAGCTGTGCGGGACGCACCGAGCACTCCTCCTCTGAGGTCTGCACACAGCCAGATCGGTCATTTCGCACGCAACAGGCCGAGTGCTTCTCACGCTCACGAGCAGCACTGATGAAGCTGTGCACCTGTGGGTCCTGGCGCATGCAGGGCGAGAACTTGGCACCCAGGTGAATAAGGGCCTCCTACAGTAAGGGAGATGTACAGTTGCAACCCCAGGCCCCCTGCCCACCTCAGGAACCCCAGGCTTCGCCCCCAGCCACGTCCTCACCGAGCTGGGACCGATCCAGAAGTTTTCTTGCTGCACATACTTGACATTTTCGTAGACACCACGGTTCCGCAGCACCTGGAAAGTCAGGAAGTGGGATTAGACCAAGTCCATAGGGCTCTCTCTTCCTGGAGAGGAGCACAGGGGGTCCAGACCATCTGGGTCCCGGGAGAGTGCCAGGGGCTCACCGAGTCCACTGTCTCATGCTGCGAGAAGCCCACGGGCGCGATGCCATAGATACACACTGCTAGAATGGTGACCAGCGAGTGCACGAAGGTAAGCCAGTAGGTGAAGAAGGGCCTGCAGGGCGGAGCATCAGCGGGCGCATCCCCAAGGCAGAGCCCAGGAATCTGCATCCCAACCCCAAGACTTGCTCACAGGGCTGCAATCCCCTGACCTACCTGTGGTCGTCCATGTCCTCGATCTGGCGCTTCACATAGCTGTCAATTCGCTTGCGGTAGGTGCGGTTAGTAAGCCGGCCCACCATGCCCAGCCCATATGGCCGCTTCTCCCTGGCAAAGAGCTTGCGCACTGGCACTGCAATGCGCTGGCCCCGCCTGGGCCCCACAGCGCTCACCACCTCCTGTCGAAGCCGTACCTTGGGCTGCGGAGCTGTGCCACCCTCCTTCTGTTTCCGCCAGCCTCGCTCCAGGGGCCTGCAGGGAGCCAGCTCATTCACCTCCTGGGCTAGACCACCACCTGCTGCCATCCCTCCTGATGCAACCAGAGCTAGTCAGTCTTTATCCCACCCTGCACAGGYCTTGGCTTTGATGAAGGGGGTAGGTGTCAAGTCCCAGTTTTAGCCTCTTTCTTACCAGTAAAGGAGCAACCTCAGGCCCCTCCCAGGATGGCAGGAAGGGACCCCAGATTCAGCAAAGGTTCTGTACCTCAGCAAAAGGTCACACTCCTCTATGCTGGAATCACCCAGCCACCAGGTCTTGGGACTCCCCAAGTGGGCAGAAAATACTGGGGACATGTCTAGCCCTGGGACCCCCACCATAGTTGCCAAGCTAGGTTCCCACTGCACTAGGCAACTCACTCTAGGCAGTGAATGCTGGTGCACCATGCCCTAGGGTCCAGCTGCTCCTGACGGACAGAGGTCCCCCCCACCATGTACCCCACCCACCAGCTGCACTCACAGCATCAAGTGGCTGCGCTCAAGCTCACTGCGGTCCAGGGCCCCACCCGTGAGGTCGGCCTGCTCTGGGGCTTTCTCCCAGTCTTTGAGTGCAGCCTCCGATGGGGACTCAAACACCTCATCCGGGTATGTGGACAGCTCCTCAT